TTTTTTTTTTTTTTTTTTTTTTAGAAATTAGGGGCAATAAATGGGTAGAAGGTAAGAAAAGGAAAATGGATTTTTTTTTTTAATTTGAAAGACTGCATCTTAATAATATAGATGACTTCCATAGTACCTCTTTGGTCATCAAAAGACTAGGAAAAATAACAGTTTCTCACTATAGTTATTAACCTCACCTGACACTAGTAACATCAAAATGAATTTAAATTAAAAGTTTAAAATGAAAAGGGCATCTAGCACTCTATTGTATTTACCTATGGTTTTCAAAAATAAATGAAGTATAAAAAAGTTCAGTGGATAACTGACAAGTGTTTAGACAATGAATAGAGATACTTTATTAAATTCAATTTCAATTTAGCATAGAATCTAGTTTCATTTCTTTTCAGAACTTTCACCTATTTTTGTAACTTTAACTTTTAAAAAATTATTTTACATTTCCCTGTATAGAAAAATTCAAGATTACTCTTGAAATAGCTTTACTATTATCAGTTGAAATGAAACTACTAATTCAACAAGATGTGTGAGCTAGTATTTCAATTAAGAGCAACTTAAAGGCAATTTCTCTACAAATACTGAAGTTGCAACAGATTTGGAAGAGAAAAGAATTTATTCTACCATTGTAAAATATAGCAGAAACAGAATACAGCAGTAATGTATATATTGAAATATCAAGAGTATGGAAAAGCCTTACTTTATAGACCATATATGCGGGAAATTTAAATGAATACCTGTTAAGACTGACTGTATTCCTATTCTCATCTAAATGAAAGGAAAAATACATATAAATGTGTCTATTCTAATACATAAAAGATTGTGGCCAGATTTTCATGGAAAAAAAAAAGGCAAGAAAAAATTTCCACGCTGTCAAATTTAAATTTTATAAATATAATGTATATAAACTTTAAATTAGCAGATACCTTATGAAGGATGATAGAAAACAAAAACCAAACTACAATCCCCCCAAAAAGCCAAACCAAGTAAAACATAATCTGATTGTTTTCAGTGTTGGTTATGTTGCCCTCTTGCAAAATGACAGGCAAAATCATACTTGTTTTTACATTTGCATCCACATATATTACACTGAAAAGGATTTTCATATCCATGACATCCCATATGAATAGTGTAAAGGATATTGTCTGCAAAGTACATGTCACAGTGCTGGCAGTGGTGCAGAAGCTGAGGGTCCTGGATTGGCAGGGTTGGGGCTGGAGTGCTTGGCTGGCTGTTTCCTATGCTGGGAGTACTGGTGTGGGCACTTGGTTCACTGCTTGGACCTGCCACTGGACTGTAGTTCCTCTGACTATGTGATGGCCGAGGCTCGGGGCTTGTGGGGGAGGAGCTCTGAGGAATACTTGCTGACACAGCAGAAACCACTGCTTGGGCAGAGGGTTGCTGAATCATGAAAGGCTTTTCATCAGGGCAGGGGACTACATCAGGGGATGCAGGGTTTTGGTTTTCAGGTGGCAAACTGGACAACTGTCCTGCTAGAGTAGAGAGCTGATTTAAAGGGTTGTCAACCATGAGTTCTTGGGGATCCCTTGGTAGGCCACCAGCTGGTGTAGTTTTCGCCATACTTTCATAGGAGTCAGTCTGGATATTTGGGATTTCGTGGGTAAAATCATTAAGGTAGTCTGGTTTCTGAACCACCATGGAAGGTGGACTTAAGTTGATTAGTGCTCTTCTGCTGTATCCCAGATTGCTTGTTTTCTTCTGTAAAACCCCCCACATTTTCTTGCTGCTCAAGGAAGACCTAGTACCTTTAATTGGCACCATTTTATGCTTGCGCCTTCGATGATGGGACAGGTTACTTCGATCACTGCAGCGGAAGGAACATAATTCACATTTGTATGGTTTTTCTCCAGTATGGGAACGCATATGGGCTTCCAGATGACGCTCATAAGCAGATGCAAATGGACACAAGTGACATCTATGCGGTTTCTCACCTATTTAAAATGGGAAAAGGGGGAGAAACTATAATAGTAGCTCATTTATGTTAAAGTTTCATATTTGTCCATTCATTTTGGAATTGGTCAAAAGTAAAATGCATTTCAGAAATTCACATTTTCATAAAAGATTATTTAAATCTGTAAAGTCAAGTCTAAGTTCTCATCAGCAATAATCTGAGATACACATTCAGATTCTACTAGTCAATATAGTATGAAAATTGTTATGGCTTCAACTGGTATTTGCGGAAATAAGAAAAAGTATGTGACGGTTATTTCCTACAAAATAATGTTCTATCAACAGTATGCCTGTTATTATATGTTCATGCATTCATCTATACATAAACATTTATTCATATACATACATATATAAACTCTTTTCTTAAGGGGAAAAAACCAAACAAATCTTTGAAAAAATGTCTTTGTATGAAATAAAAAACACAAAACCAAAATAACCATCCTAGTCCCATATGACATATGCAAATTATCTCTTCAAAATTTCACCACTTTTCCTCCATCTTCTCACTCTTCAGTTGCCAGAAGGAGCAATTTTAGTTAATGCTGTTAGTTGAAGATTTCCAAAACATATAAAATAAGTATTTGGAGTATGATGTTTGGAGTCATTCATCCAACAAGCCCTGAGCAACTTCTTTATACCAGATGCTCTGCTGGGCTCTGAGGGTACAGAGATGGCCTAATGATGATCCCTGTCAAGTGGTTTTCATACTATAATAACATGATGAATGAGCACAGGTTGCTATGGAGCACACAGCAAAGACACCTTCCCCAATCCTGGGCAAGGACAGGGTATAGTTAAGAAAGTTTTTCAGAAAAGGGTTGGCTAAGGAGACACATGGGCTTAGCAGCAGCCTGCAAATGTATAAAAACTTTTTCTCTTCTCTAAAACTGAAAATGTATTAGGTGGAGATAAAGACAAACATTGTATATCCTCCATACTGCCCTTAGTATGGACCCCCTGCCCTGCCTGACAGGCAGTTAAGATATTGAAAAATTATGTGACCAAGCAGAAAAATGGCTAGAGAAAGAGGAGTTCTGCAAGCAGCCTCATTTCCCATTGTTTGTATGCCAGTAAGCCACTGGTTTATAAGGAATGAGGTAACTTTACCACTGATTTCAATCTTATAAACCTTCACTGGTGAATAAGTACTGTTTATAAGATAAACCAAATGAGCTGCACTTCTTGACCCTTCTCCTGCCCTTAAAGAAATGTCTTGAGCTGGAGGTGGTGGTATATGCCTGGAATCCTAGCACCTGGGAGGTTGAGGTAAAAGGATCATGAATTTAAGGCCAATTTGGATGATATTATCAGGCCCTATCTCAAAAACCAGAAAACAAAGGAAGAGAAAGACAAATGCCTCTTCTAGGTGTTTCTTCATTACCTGTGTGGATTCTAATGTGCTCGATAAGCCGTGCTGTTCCTTTGCTGGCATAGTTGCAGTACCGACACTTGAGCTTCCCATCAAAAGTCCTTTCAAACCCGTCTACTAACATTCCTGAGTTTTCATCCAGAGAAACTTCAACAGATGGATGATCAAGTCCATTTTGATCACCATCTGTTCCAGCTATAAACAAAGTATAGCAAAAAAAAAAAAAAAATTATACATCTCAGAGTCAAGTCTATTTAGCATTTGAGTCTTAATTGGCTAAAAAATCATAAATTCACTTCCTACAAATTAAATTCATAAAATAACACTGCCTTTCTGAATAGAGGTTAATTTTATATAAAAGCAAGATTATATTCTGAGAACCTTCTACAGGGGGAATCTTATTATTTACACATAAATTCAATCAGTCCTCAGTACGCTTTTTTCCCCCTCAATGTGCTTTTGATGAATAGATAAGACGACAAGGGACTAAAAAAATCCATTCAAGAGTGATGGCAGGGCCAGGGATTTAGCTCAGTGGTTCCGCTTCCTGCCTTGCACGCAAAAGGTTCTGAGTCCGATCAAACAAACAAAAACAAAACAAAAAACAACAAAAAAAAAGAGTGACAACATAGTTATACACAGGTGTTTCAGATGCAAGTCATTCCTACAACTATAATTAGCAGTACTAATAGTCTCTAAAAGCTTATTTTAGTCTAAAACAGTTCCATTCGGCTTATGTATGCTGTAGATTCTGAATTATATTTAGGATCCTAAAGTTCTAATTAGTTACAAAAAGGAAAATATTTATCTGGTTCCTCTGAATGTTAGGACTGTTAAGAATTTCAGAGATAAAGGATGCTTGAGTGTTTCCTTTTAATCTAATCAGACTACTTTGTTTAAAGAAACTGAAAGGGCAGGTACTCATCAGGAAACTAGCAAACATCAGGGACTACAATCTCTAGTTCCAAGGCATCTCCAGCTCTAGGAGAGAAATTACTGCAGCTTTGTGGGAAAATGACTTCTCCATCCTGAGGTAGCAAACACTGACATGAAGAATTCAATCCCTACTCCACCTTCAGTGAGAGAAATTATTTGCTGGCTGTAGCAAGCCCAGTATCCAACAGGACTACCACATTGGAGGAATAAGACCCACTATCTCCCCACTACTTTCCTAGCTAGTGACTCTCAACAATCTGATGTGGGGATAAATCACCTGGGGAATTCACTGGATTGGGGTAAAGTCTAGTGCTTCCCATTTCTAACAGGTTCCCAGGTGATGCCTAAGCTCTGCTGTCACCTGGAAAATACTCTAGGCCAGAGGTCCACAAACTTCTATAAGGATGAGATGGTAAATATTTCAGGCTTCGTCTCTACTGTAACTACTCAACTCTGCTATTGTACCATAAAAATAGCCGACAGGAAATATGTAAACCAGTGAGTAAGTGTTCCAATAAAATTTTATTCATGAACAGTGATGTCTGAATTTCACGTGTTATGACATTCTTCTTCTGAGTTTTTTCTATTTTTAAATGTAGAAAACATTCTTAGCTTATAGGTGATATGAAAACAGCAATCCAGATGAAATGCACAGGATGTAGTTTGTTGATCCAGAGCTAGGTTTAGAAATAGATTCCAGTCTGTGTGGTCTGCAAACCAGAGAACTTTCAACTCTGGCAGGATCAGTGCCTTTCTGCTGTCTCTGATCTAGTTTCTCTTCTTAGGAAAGAAACAGAAAGACCTGTTTGGGTCTCAGGTCCAACCCCTATTTTTCTGATCTCATCTGGGTACTTCAAGGCTGGAATCTGGAGGACAGGTAGGGGATTTAGAAGTCCTAACCTTCTAACCAGATCATAATGCATCTACAAACGATACTAAGTCTCCTTTAGCAAAAATACCGCATTTAAAAGAAAAACATGGGACGGGGATTTAGCTCAGTGGTTCCGGCGCCTGCCTTACAAGTGCAAGGACCTGAGTTCGATCCCTGGTACCGAAAAGAAAAACATGAATTTTGTCTTTATAGAAAAAGATGGAATAGTCCACATTAGTTAGTAGTGGTCTTCAGAGCAGACACAACTATACATGAACATTAATGGATTTATAAGTGAGCTATTTAGGAATGTTAAAATGAGTCTACCTCCCTGAAGAGCCTCTGCTTCTTTGTCCCCACTAACTGATCCAGAAATCATGTTCACATGATGGGTCTGCTGAGTCAGGTATTCTTGAAAATCTTTCACAAAGTCCAAAGGTTCTGGTTTCTTTTCACCCATCTTTGCCTTTTTTTTTTTAATTTAAAATTTGTTAGACCTAGGGAAACAAATTGAAATAATTTTTCATACCCAATACACAATAAAGCAAGTGACAAAACTGTTTTGTGCAAGATACTCTACAAAGGAACAGAAAACACAGTGCAGTATTCAAAGACCATATAATATTTGAAGAATTAATGAAGACACACAAAATGAAAAGTAAATATGCTTCATAATCAATTAAACTGGGATTCACAGTTACACAGGGTGGAGAGATTATTCACAACCATTAAAATACTAGAAACTATCCAAATGAACCCAAAACGGTAGAATAGATAAATTAGTTATAGCATGTTCACACAATGGGTTATATTATAGTGATGGCAAGCCTTTTAGAGCTTTCAGTGATACAAACAGTCCACAGCACACAAGCCTTAGATTCACCACCAATGGGTTAATACTGAAAATAAGCAAACTTCAGCTCCTTGCAACAATCTGGATGAATCTCATAATCATAATGCTGAAAGACTGAAGTCAAAGGTTGGCAGTGTACATTTCCATTTACATATAGCTGAAGAACAGAGGAAACTAATCTGCAATGCCAAAAGTCAGAATAATATAATCCTTTCCAAGGCAGACAGGGTCAGGTACTAGAAGAGACACAAGAGGAGCTCCTGGGGTGTTGGGAGCCTTCTGTTTATTTCTCTATTTTGGTGCTGATGTCATGGACATGTTCACTCATTCATTTGCTTAAGACTTATAATATATTAGCTCTTCTCTGTATATGCTAGACTTCAAGACAAAGCTAAGTAAAATGCTGAGAAGTGAGTAATCTTTAACATTACATACCTACTATCAGCAATTAAACTTTTTTAGACAGAAAATTACTCAAAAAAAGTTTAAGAATTTTTTTGAATAGGGCATTATTTTGGTTCACTGCACAGGAATGAAGTTAAATTATTGGGTTAAAAGTATGTATATATTCAGGTTTAGATAACACCAAATAATTTTTCACAGTGATTATACTAACTTACACTTCCAACAGCAGTGAACAAGAGATGCGCTACTTCACATTCTCAATAGGCTACTTTTTGGGGGGTGGGGATTACTGGGGATCAAACTCAGGATCTTGTGCTTGTGAGGCAGGTACCCCCCAAAAAATTGGTGAGAGCTAACTTTGGGCTGGGAATACCACTGAGTCAAAGTCCCAGCCCAAAATTAGCTCTGACCACTTTTTTTTTTTTTTTTTTTTTTTT